TTTCAAAGCCCAACTCTCATGCCATTAGAAAGAGGATCATGAAAAACCTATAAAAAAATGGTTCATGAAATTTTAGTTCACTCATAAAGCTAAAGTCCGCCTGCTCTAGCAAAAAATGCCCACTGTGTGTTATTTTAACTGTTATTTTCTCTACACACTTTTTTAGAGAAGCTATTCAATCATATATTTTAGTCGTCTAGTGGGAGAAACATAAGAAAAACAACTCTTACGTATTATGCATGTAATGTTGAAGGGATGATCGATGCGCTCCTCGTTGACGAAGAACCACTCAGGTTTCAGTAATCAAAAGTAAACAAAACTACGAGTACAAAAACACTTTTCTACTACTTACGGAGCCGTTTTTAGACAAAAAATAAAATATGCCAATGTTAACTTCTTCTTTGAGAGTACTATATACGTACGTGGTAGATTACCAATTTTAATATTGTGATCAATCCAACTTTGAAGGCGAAATATGAACAACATACACACAGTAATTAATAATATGTTTGATGTTAATACGGGAATCGTAACAAAACAACGGAATACAATACGTTTCCAATGTGGATAATAGGGTTCATATTTGTTAGTTATAGGTGATAATCGATATTCTCCTTTGAATGTTGGACGAGGACTTTCAAGAAGATTATCATCTAAGTCTAATGTATTCCAACCATGGGCTAATTCAGCTTGTTTTCGTCTCCATAAGACAACAAAACATGTTCCCCATAAAATGTTAAGTATACTGTTCAGGATATGAACGATATCATCTTGTTCCTAAATGATAAATAAGTATGATATCTCAAATACCAATATTTTAATGAGCATTGAGAAAACATTATTTTACTACAATTATTTCAACTATGATAAAACAAAGCTATATTCTGAGCGAAGTAAGGAATGCAAAATTAATTGAGTGCATACCTGACTTTTACCCGTGAAAAACCAGAGTATTATGCCATACAAAGCAGGAAGACATAGAGCGGTTGTATAAAAACCAAGCCAAGAAAAGTAGAAAGCAATTTTAACACCAAAATATCGTCGTATATAATCTTCGAGAGAATGAAAAAATAAAGCAAAAAACTCGCTACACAGACGACGACAATATTTTTCTATGTTTACCAACTGGTTGCGGCTTCAGAATATTATGAGGCAAAACCCATTGCTGAAACAAATCTTGTAGTCTGCTTTTGTTATGTAACGGTACGATTTGTGCTATGAAATGTTGATCTAATGCTCGTTGAACTGAGAAAAGAAAAGAAAGAAATGAAAATAAATTAGAAATAATTACAACTCGTAGATATACCCTTACTCAGTTTTTCTTCCGGTTGAAATGTAATCCCTAACACTTGTTGTCTTTCGCGAATTTTAATTTCATGCAATAGATAAATACCGATTGACTGGCGTTCTGGGGATGTAAAAAATGTTTCATTCTCAACTTCTAATAAAAATAAAAATATGCTGAATTAAATAAAATAGTATTTTATTTCTACCTACGTTCATAAACTTCCATCTCTTGAAATATAAAGGGTTTAAAACCGCCTCCAAACTGAGCTTTTATCGGCTTTTCCAACTGAAGTAATTCAGCACCTTTCAGCAGTCTTCAAAATATCATTTCTAGTTAGAATTATGAATATCATCCCACACATTTTTAACTTACTTTGCATACGTAAATGTTATGTAAAATCCATACACACCTAGAAAAGCGTAAAAATTAAGTTTATTTACAAAAAGTATGATGCTTATGAATATCTTACCAGTTGTAAAATGATATTTAACACTGATTCGAATGTCCGGTTCTAACTTTAACAATTGTTCTAGAAACCATATGATTTTATATTCATCAATACGAGATGGAAACGTGATTAGTAAATCACATGCATCAGTTGCTTTTGATTTAAGCCATAGTCTATTGGTCAAGATTCCAGATGATAAGGAAGCAAGTCGATTTCGAAATAATCCACTAACTAAAAATCAGATAATAAATGATTTTTAAGTGTAACATTTATTAAAATAAACAAACCATTGTTATATTGTTCAATGCTTTCTCGAGGCTTATTAGACATTTTTTATTGTTCAATAGTAGGATTATATTATCGTTTCATAATCTAAAATAGAAGATTATTTGATACACCAACATGGTTTAAATGAATAACCATCAAATTAGTACATTATCTCTCATTTCAGAATGAGAGCGTCTATTTAATTCAACGACTGAAAAACGAGAATAGATGGATTATTGGACAAGATTTGTAAGTTGAAACTGGTGAAATGGCAAACTTTTATATAGTTTTTATAAGAACTTAGCAATTAAATCGCGTAACTCTGCTACTGGAGTATGAATGTGTTACTGTTTCTACTCTTTTTGTCTGTATTTATAATATTAAAAGAGAACATGTTACAAATGTGAGAAACATCTCGCTTTGTAGTTAAAAGTCTACTCTTCGAAATCCACTCTATGATCAGTTCGATTTACTGAACCTTCTTTACCCTATAATCGAAATACTAATGTTCGCTAGAAAAAGCACATTTTAATTTTAAGCTTACTGTATTTTAATCATAATGAAAAGAAGATTGAGTGAATCGAACTGATTACAGAGTGAATTTTGAAGAGTAGACTTTCAACTACAAAGCGAGATGCTTCTCACATTTGTAGCATGTTCTCTTTTAATATTATAAATACAGATAAAAAGAGTAGAAACAGTAACACAGTCACACTCCAGTAGCAGATTTACGCAATTTAGCTGTTAGTATTCATATCTTGAAATATGAAACATTTTAAGAATGATATCAAAATTCTCCACTTATTTTTTAATCGTTTGATAACGTTTCATTATTGAATGGCACATATATTATAAATAGTAAATAACTACATCGTGACATAAAGATTATTAAAATCTTCTGTAAACAGAAAATGGATTTTCTTTTTATACAGACAAACAAAAAGAGAAAAAGAATAATAGTAATCATTGCCTGATTATATAGGCAACACACACACACACACACGCATACACATACATAGATATATATACACTAAAATAATAAGACAATCGATTTCTATAAGAAGAGTTTAAAGTTAAACAAGCTGAAAAGATAGATTTAAATCAATTTTTATAATAAAATAGTACTCATTTTCAAACGATTCATTCATACTTGATCACAGTTTCATTTACTGACCTTATTGCATTGAACATGCATACAGATCAGGAATGATTTGAGAAAACAGCATATACAGCCAAAAAAAAAACAGAACAAACCTGAGGTTTTGAAAAATAAAAAATAACAAACACCGGTTGAAATATATAAGAAAATGATTTTCATCTCAACTATATGCAAAATGTTTATAATACACATACTTACACACTCATGCATTCTCATTTATTATATTTGTTTTAGAAAATACATATGAAAAAATGATGTAAACAGTTTTACATGGACGGAGAAATAAACTATACAATAATATTGTGAAAACAAAAGCACAATAATTTGGATATGTGTTTAAATGGTTTACTATCCGAAGAGACGAGAAGAAAAAAAAATAATAGATAAGTTTAATATTATGCACAAAATTAACAATTCAAACACAATTCTCTTTCTCTTTCTCTTTCTCTTTCTCTTTCTCTTTCAATTTGCCAATAAAATTTAAAATTAATTGTTGCATATCATTTGCTTTAAGTTCGCTAATTCTTATCACTTCTTCATGTACGGCTTCGTGTGTAGCAGTGTAGTCTGTTAAGCACTTATTTGTTATCAGCGCCAAGCCAAGTATTCGAAAACCACAATGAGCGCCCACAGTTACTTCATGTACAACACTCATTCCTAGAAGATCGCAAGACAAAATATTTAAAGAAATATATGAAACAAATAATTGTTTTAAAGTATAAACCGAATCTTCATAGTTATTGGTAATAACAGCGATGTAATTCGAAGCTTTACTTTTATTTATAGTTGATCAAACCGATTAAGTACTCTAATTATTTTTCGTCAGAGAAAGAAAGACATTGCTTACCAACAGCATCACCTCCAAGCATCTTTAGTAAATTGATTTCTGCAATTGTTTCGTAACATGGTCCACCTGATGTGGAAAATAGAAAAATCATTAGAGCACTTATTTGTTATATGTTACATTTGTTACCTAAACTTGCATAAATTCCTTCACGTAATTCAAGTCCATGTTCGATTGCCACTTGTTTCATTGATGTCGTATATTCTCGATCGTATGCATGTCCAACTGGTGGAAATCTTGTTCCTATTAAAAGATCGGTGTAAGCTACTTAATCTTACAACTCATATCAAATATAAAACTCACCAAACCTTAAAAATTCACAAAATAAATTAATAGAATAATACATGGACTGTTCATAGTCCACTCACCGTTCGTCATTGTGTCCAATTAATGGATTATTTCCCGAAAAATTTGGAAAATTAAGATGATCTTTAATAATCATAATATCGCCTATGTTATATTCTTTATTCATGGTTCCCGCTGCACATGTAACGATTAGAGAATGAGCACCCAACAGTCTCATAACTCTAACAGGCATAGCACACTTGAATAAGGAAAAACAAGTCCATATGTATTTTTAATATGTATTAAGTATTTTTTACCAATGCTGTTGTATATCCTTCATATGCATGAAATCTTCCTTGCATACATACGACATAAACACCATTTAATATTCCAAAAATTAAGTTTCCTCGATGTCCGACAACCTAAATATGGCAAATTTATATTCTCAATTAATATCAAATAAACATTTCTTACTGTACTAGATGGAAAATAGGGTATTTCATTGTATGGAAAAGTAACTTTATCTGTAATTAATTCAGCCAATCCACCAAGTCCTGAACCACATATAATGGCAACTTTGGGAGAACTGGGAATTTTTTTTCGAAGATAATTGGATATTTCTTGTATTCGTTCGTACGAGAAAAAACTTAAAAAGTAGAAAAATATCAAATAAAAAAAAAACTATGAACATTTCTAATTAATAATATACTTCAATTTTCTTTCTAATTTCTGGTAGAAAGTGTATCAAGTTCAAACTATTTCTTACCGATTTGTTATAGCATTTGGATGCTCACCAATGGATGAATTGAGATGAGTTGGAGAGGATGTTGTCGAATGAGACAAATCTTGTTTCAACATATTAGACATAGTAAAAAAACTGACAATATTCAAGTAGTTGTTCTAATTCATGAAAATACGCATAAAATAAAATAGATATAATGATACAAATATCTAAAGTAAACAATCATGTATGCATCAAACTTACTTTTTTTACTTCTTTTTTAACACGTACTGTTTTTTTAAATCAATAATCATAAGTAATCGTTCGTTATTCACAGTATCTATGTGTGCATTCTTTGCGCAATTGGCATAAATCTTTCACTCTCTTTATTTGATTTGACATAAAAACTTGACTTGCGGTTAGTGCGATAAGCGTAAAAAGGCAAGGCCAAAATACGTAGATGTGTAACAAAGAAGAAAAGAAAAACGAAAACGAGGCCCAAATTTATGTGAAATATATGCAACCTTTCTCTTGGATATAATAAGATTAAAAAAACAACAGATGTATTTGTTTGAAAATTTGAGTTTTATTTTGTCCTGTTATTTTCGATTAATCTTCAGAGATAAACAAGCTATCGCACGCGCGTATGCAACATATGATTAATGACACATCCGACATATTTCTACCCCTGGTAGAGTTAACTCATATTGGAATGATACAATAGTGAAAGGTTAGACTAAAAGAAAGTAATTTTTATTTTTCAAAAATAAATTTATTTGCTCAAGAGAATCTGTCAAAGCAGCCTCGTCGTTCGTCTTCCAAAATTATGTTTACTACACTCTAAAAAGAAAAGGTATTTCAAAAAACTCTAAAAAGTATTCTCCATTTGAGAAAAACCAAAAAAAATGGTATAACCCACCTGTGAAAAATGTTTAAAGAATTTAACCATTCAAAACATATCATAACTGTTTAAAAGTTTCTTATTCTTATCAAAAAACTAATTTTTGTTTTCTAAAATACGGCTAAAATATGTTCTGAAAAATGGTTGAGATTTCTTCATGTTACAAAAAATACTTTTAGGTATTTTAAAATACCAAATCAATTCAGGGTTTTTTTAAATCATGGCGTTTTCATATTCTAAAAATCCCAAAGGGTTTTTCTGATAAAAGTAAAAAATGTTTAAACAGTTATGATATAGTTCAAATGGTTATACCATTTTTTGTATTTTAAAATACCTTTTTTTTCTTTTTTAAGAGAGTAGTCTATTTTTATCGTTTTCACTTTTAAATATTTATTAGGTACTCTTCTCGCAGATAATTCAAACTTAATTAATTGTACACGTATCTTTTTTTTAAACAAACAGACACTCGATTTTTAATGGCATGATGCATGATGATTATCAATCTTTTATTCCGTACTAAGAAAAAGAAAAAAGAAAAACATGAGTAGGTTGATTGGAGCAGAATTATAAAGAGTATTCTTTATCTTCTTATTATAAAATTGTAGTTTCTAAGTAAAGAATACCTTGAAATTAAAAAATAAAAAGTTTTGCATACATGTATGAAGAAGACCAATTGAAAGATCAAATATTCTTAAGTAACTTGTAGTTACGAACATATGACAAAGTTACTCAATAAAACGAATGGGTACGATAAGAAATGTCGCTTTTAAATTTTTGTTTTTTTTTTAGTATAAAAATAAGTCTGAGATGATAAACTATACACAATGGTGTAATAGTTCAATTGGAATATACATATAAATTGAAGAGATATATAGATATTTTCTAATCTTAAAACTGATATAATCTCTGATAACTAACATAACATTTAACATGTGTTTGTAATGAAAAAGTAGAATAAAATGAGATTTATTTACTTATTTAATTATCCGATCGATTCATTTTTTAATATTGACTAACAAACCCATACATAAAACATAAATACATACACATAATAGAATAGATAAAAAAAATTAAAAGTTTTTTAAATATGGACAAATAAAAAAAATAAAATAATAAAACTATAAAAAAAATAAGGTGTATACATGAATAATTCATTTTCTTTTTTGAAATAAATATTAACAACAAAATTTTGATGTTGTTTTATTTAGTAGAAAAAAAAATTGGATCAATTGAAAATTGAATCCAATACAATTTATATCACCGTTTACATTCTTTCATAAAACATATCACATATCATATATATTTCACATTAAAATTTCACTTCAATAAAATGAAGTACGGTTGACAAAACACTTACTATAAGAAAAGATATTTGACAATTAGTTTTTAACAATATTTTATACAAAAAGAGTAATCAATTAACTTAATATTCCAAGATGATTATTAATAGTATCGATTAAATCTTGTTTTTTTGTACCATTTGAACGTATTTTTTTGTCTTTACAATAATCTTTCATTATTGGAATTGTTAATTTATTCAGCTAAAAAATGAAATTTTCATAACTATTTTCTATATGAAAAAATTTACTGTTCAATGACATGGATTACTATTTGAAAATGTTTTTTGAAAATTCACACGCGAAATCTGATGATCTGTGTTTCATTGTCTAAAATGTTTGCTAAGATATCCATGATTATTCACGTGTGAAGAATCATACAACAAGTTTTATCAACTCGTTTCAACGTAAGTGTCGATGGAGATCAACGAAATTTCATCTTCAGCGTCTTTCGAATAGATTAAACTTGACTTTGTCGTATACTGAGTCGAAAAATAATGACTGATTGACATCGTTACAGTGATAATAGGCGAAGCAGAAGAAACCGATCTCCCAACATTTTCAACTTTGTCCACGATCCTCACGTTCTAAAATTCAGCTGTTTTATTGCAAAATATTCACCGTTTAGTTTTCTAGAAAATGGTATGTAGAAGATCTCAGATTTTTCAACGTGCATTTTTGAGCTTTGTGTAAAATGAACAGTGCTCACTCAAAAATGAAGAAAAAATCAGGCACATTCTTGCATCATTTTGAGGATAAATGTTTTATCTATCCGATTCGCGTGCAAAATATCTGATGCCACTTCCTGAAAATAATCGAAACGCCGAAACTAACATATTGTTTATTTTTTTGGCTGCTAATTATTAATTAACCATTTTTACCACATCCAACGGACGGGGATGACATGAATCCTGCACAGTGTGCATTTTTCTATAAAGCAGGCGGATATATGGTGTAGAAGTAGTATGTAAGTTTATAAACACGTTTTTCTATAGGTTTTCGAATATACTCTTTCTAATGATGAGATTTTCAGAACCCCAAAATAGTTTCTTGTAGATTTTCGCGAGACTGGATCTCTGAAAAACCCATAAAAAATATCTTTGCATTTCAAAAATCTCACCATTGGAAAGAGCATATTCGAAAACCTATAGAAAAATGTGTTTATAGACTTTCGCACTGTTGCTAAAACAAATATTCGAATTTTTTTTTTCGCTATGCTATTTATTGATACGCTCGTAAGCGCTTGCAAAAGTAATGAAAAAAGTAAAAATACAAAAGGTTTTGCTTACAATGTAGGTCATTCTCTCCTTCTACATAGCTCAGCCCAAGACTAGTTTGCAATAACATAAAAAATTAACATACAAAAAACCAGAAAGGAAAAAGGAAAGAAAAATCTAGAACCGATTTAACTGAGCGGACTAGTATCTCAACTCACAGTTATACTTGTCTAGAAATGAAAGCCATTCGAGAAGATAACATTTATGATTCTTGATCATCTTTTCTACACGCTTTAGTCTAAAAAAGTGATCTAACCCAAGTTTCTTTCTATCGATTGCAAGGAAATCCCAATAAAAAGCATCATTAAAAAAAAGGATTGGCCTAAGTCGATATTCGAATTCCTAGGCAAACTTTTCTGCGGAGAAGCTTTCAACTCTATAATTCAGTTTGATCGAAAATATTTCGGCAGAAAAATTAAGAAGCTAACATCATCCGATGCAGTTTTTTGCGCTGATTCCGAATATGCCGTTTCGATTGAATAAAAATATTTCTGGGCCACGATAAATAGAAAATACGTGAAAAACCTGGGGTTTTTTGAAACACTCATAGCTCAGCCCAAGAGTGTTTATGCTAATTTATGCTAACTGTGCTAACAGCTAGTATACAGGAGAATATTTTGCAAAAATTTAAACGGGTGTCGAGTTGGGCTATGGAGGGCGCATTCATTCTACCAAAGATAGCTTCTGGGAAAACCCGCTAGGAAAATATTTTACATCATTTTCTCGACTTTGACAAAATCAAAAACTTTTTTAGCATTCGATAGCCTGTTTCATGCGGATTTTAGATATGTGTTCATTTGAGCAATAGTTCTCGTAGATTCTGCGTAATTTTAATTTTTCCGACTGCACCCTTGTTTTTAGCGTAATTTTTGTCTATATGCTTTTCCCAGCTTAAATAAGTCCTAGGACAAAAAAATTTTGCCCTTGAATAGAGCATTTTTCAAAGTATATTAATCACTATTTGAATCACTGAAAAGTCAACTTTCATTTTTTCACCAAAAGCTCGCCTGGATATATACTGTGTCTTGCCCCAACTGATAGAGGACATCTAAACGTGCCAACAACGACCAGTTTTGGGGCATTTGGATTTCTGTTCAATTAAGACGGCATCTCAAGTCTCAGGATCATGCTCTATATACCATTTTCTAGAGAATTAAACGGTGAATCTTTTGCAAAAAAAGCTGAATTTTAGAACGTGAGGATCGCAGGCAACATTCAAAACGTTGAGAGGTCAGATTTTTCTACCGCACCTGTTAGACAAATTTCAGCAACTAGTGTTATTTTGTGAAAAATTATCATCCACGCATGGCTGCACATGAGACTACTGATCAAAAATAACTAAAAATTAATGTATTCTTTTCTTGTTTTATATTCTATTTTCTAAGAGATATTGGATCGCGTACATGTGGGAGGTAATGATTGATTTTGCCGAATTTTATAGCGTTGCCTACGGAAAAATGATGATCAGAAGTGTTTCTAATAAAAAAATGAATTGATTTTCAATGAATTATTAACATGAAGATTCACGGATGTACAAATACGTTATCTTCAATAATGTGTATTTTGAAATGTACAGATTATTATTCGATGAAAATGTGGAAATTCTTTAAAGATTTGAAACGATTTCTTATTAAAATTTTGTAGAATATGCTGAATACTGATGACTGATACAATAGTGCTGTTCTGAGGATATACAAAACAATTGACCATTTTCACGGTAGACAAAGTGTCAATACGCCCAATTGCTTACGCAAAGGGACAAAATTATTTTCTTCGCCTGTACGCATGAATACATTGGTCTACAAGCGCAAGCGCGAGTAAATTTCAGCATTGGAAGTTTTCTATTAACACTCACGCTCTAAAATGTCCAGTTTACAATTCACTGGTGGACATGCATGGATGACAAAAAAAACTGACTACATGAATTGTCTTCTACTTATGATATATGTTGTACTTACAGTGCCATTACGAGCTGCATCTTCAACCTCAGCTGCTTCTTCCATTTTTGATTTTTTACTGTAATTGGCTGCATCAGTGGCTGTCTAAATTCAGACATATGAGTTGAATAAATATGGTCTTTAAAAACAGATTTTTCTAAATTATTCGAAGTGCTAAACAAAAAGTCAGGTTTTGATTTTAGACCGTTCCAAGACGCAAGTTTAAATTGAAAACGCTTTAAAACAAATTCAGAATCTGAGGTAGAGTATGAAGCAGGCATGGGCAAGTCCGAGTCCAGACTGGAAGAGTTTTTGGCGAACTCGGACTTGGACTGGAGATTTTTCTGAAGGACTCAGACTTGAGTTTTTGTATTTCCAGGCCGATCTATTCAACTTTTAACACAAATGAACAGAGAAAAATGAAAAGGGATATAACAACACCTTCTGTTTCACAAGAAATTGAAATTGAATTTTGTTCGGGAGACGGATCTGCAAAGTAACCTTATTTTCGAAAAATCAAATATCTATCCAGGGCTCGGTAAATTAAAAAAGAGACATAAACCACACTCATCAAAAACGAATCTAAAAGATTGTCGGACTCGAAATGGACTCGGTCCTTAATGTTAGGGACTCGAATTCGGCTTCTATTTTTCAGGACTCGGACTCGTATCTCAGGTAAAAATTTGATCTCAATTGGGCCATTTTTTCGAGGACTGTAATATGACTAGATTGGAATTACCAGTGTTTTCCACATTACAGGTAAGATTAAAGAGATTACTTTTTACAAAATATTTGCGACGATGCTCATATCTCCACGAAAATCCCTTGGCAAATTTCAATATATAAAGAGAACAGTTTGCTCTATCAGACTATGTCTAAGACAAAATTATGAAAGCACTGGAAGCGAAAGAAATATGGGCAGAACTTTAAAAAATTGAGTTTTTTCAGCCTCGTGAGGAAAAAAATTGAAAAATTCATAACTTTTGCAGAAAAGATCGTGTAAAACTAGAAGTGGTCTTGTTTTGCCGCTCAGGCGTTGCTCTAAATTAAGCTCCGTTCCACTCGAAAGAAAAAATTCTATTAAAAAAAAGAAGATTGCAGTATCGTTAATTTACCTTTCGTTTTACAGCTGATTTATTCAATCCTGTATAACCGGGTGGGAATATTGACGTTTTTAAATTTTGAACTAAGTCTCCGGCTTTTTCTTCCATTCGTTCAATAACTGGTATTGTTAAATCAACAAAATCATCCGTTTTATCTTTATTTAATGCCATTGCTTCAATACTACGCCATAATGTTTGTAATGTAGGATTTTCAAATTTATCTGGACGATATTTAAATTTTAATGCTTTAATTACTTGACGAAATTTCTGTACTTGATTTTGAGTAGCGCGTGGTGGATCAACTTTTGGTAATGAACGAATATCATCAGCATAAGGCAAATAGGCAACGTGAAAACCATTTGATGCAATTTTATCCGTTGGTATTTTAACATCAAATTCTTCTTTTTGTGGTATTAAGGCAACTATGCGCGGTGGTGTATTACGTCTGGCCGTAAATTGACACAATATAAACATTTGTTTTTCTAAACATTTTTTCAATAATGCATTAAACAAACATGAACTACCCTCAACATATTTTTCATCAGGATAAATAAAATGACCGGGTTTCACATAGTGAAATGGTTTTAAACATGACATTTCTTTAAAACCTAATAAACGAAAACCTGGCTCATCGTCAAATCTTTTTATCGCTTTTATTTCATCTTGTTCAAATAATATTCGTCGACCAGCTATATCTAGACCATATTGAATATCGGATGGCATTAATATTTCAGCTGTTTCAGGTAAATAATGTTTTGTAACAATTTTTGTTTCCATATTCGTTTTCTTATCTAATTTGATTTTCGTTGGTTTTGGACATGGACGAACCTAAAGCAATAAAAAAAACAAAAACAAAGATATTGATCAAAAAAATTATACTCAATAGGAAATTTATTATTATTATATTTAGACTATCATTATTCTTCTCTGTTTCGTAAACAAATAAATCCGTTGACTTACAATATTATAAACACTAACTGACATTTCCATTTGACCATCACCAATAGCTCCAAATTTGAATGGTACTGTACAATATGCCCGTTTTTTATGTTCTTTGGCTAACACACGTTTTAATAATTCATCCAATTTATTAAACGGTTTTTTTTCTAATAATTCTAAATCTTCATCAGCTAACATCAACATATCTTGATAAAATTTTCTATAATCAAATTTAGTTATAGATTTTGTTAATAATGGAAATAATTCTAATTGTATACCAACATCATTCAAATCTTTGGCACGTTGTTTTGCTTGACGTTCTAGTATTAAATTTGTTGCATGTGGTTGATCATTACATGTAAAAATAAAAATACGTTTAACTGTAAGACGTTGTGGTGAATTTGAAAATAAATTTGAACATGTCCATAATGCTTCATTTAATGAATATGAATAAGTTGAATTAATTGAACCAAAATCTTTTTTATATAAATTCAAATATTTATCTTCAGATGATAATGTTTCTAATTCAATTATTCGTTCCGCTGATGGTTGTGCTAATTCATGTAAGATATAGATATGTTTAAAATCAAAAGAATTTTTACTTTTTTCTGTACTATATAAAATGATACCCATAAGATCTTTATCATTGCTAATTATTTTTGATTGATAAAATGTTTGTGCAGCTTTCATAACCAATTGAAATGGTGTTTTTATATCATCTATAATATTTGTTTGATCATTATCATCATCAACATCACCATCGCTTTCTTTTTTCATATTTAACGATATTGATTCAAACATGTCTTTTCCACAATCAACAAGAAAAATTGTGCCATCACGAGAGGTCGTCATCTGAATTAAAATGAAAAAAGTTCAGACATTTTTTTTTCAGAGAAAAACTCAACAAAATCATTCGGCTTTATTCGATATCCTGTAGTATAAACACTAGAGAAACAGTGAAAAAAAATATTCAACAATCATTGTTTGCGAGTAGCAATGTTCTGAATTATTGATTTTTATCTCTTCTTTCAATTTCAATTTCTCAAGTTTCTCAAGTTATCAAAACGAATGTAGTATCTTTAAGTTTAAATTCTACATTTTTGCTTTCCTCATATGAAAAAATTGATAGATGACTTTTTCGAGCTGAAAAGTGGTTCAACGGGTCACGGATGAGTCCATCAGATAATCGAAATTTTGTTTTTACTTACTTGGCGTCCTTGTTGCGTTTCATCTTGCTGATCATCGTCAGCACCAGTTGCTGCTGACCAAGCCTGATCGAAGAATTGTAATGACATAGAACTATTGCTCTTTCAAAAATACAAAAACTGTATCTGGAATACACATATAGAAGTAAATGCAATAGAATAAACTATAGAAGAAAGAAAACTGAAAACATCGAAATCTCATTAATGTATTACTGACATATTTTCTCGTGATAAGATAAGATTCACAACTATTAGTATCTCGACACCATACTAGAAGTATCTCTCATTCTCTCGTCTAAGAGCCTTTAAGTATCATTGACAATATCTTACAAAGATTTCATCAGTAAACTATGAACTAAATTTTCACATCATGTTTATTTTCATTCTTTTCATTTCAGCACAATGGATACTCAGCAACTTTAAAACACCAAAAAAAAGAGAAGATTTCGTGAAAAAAAGCATCTAATTTATATCAAAAGTATATCTGACAGATCTACAATTTTGTTTTGTTAGCAAAAACATAATAAAGTCTCATTTGTCTGAACAAAATGTAAGTTTAACTAACAAAAGTTATGATTGACTAGAACAAAACGAAATTATATTATTGCACAAAAAGAAAGCTATACAGAGTATTAAAAAAGAAATATTGAGAGTAAAGCACCATAGTAAAGAATAAAATTTGTATCTGATAATTAATTGTTGAACAAGAGCTCTATTTCAGTTATATACAGTTATATTCTGAATTTAAAATAAAGTTAAAGTGATGCATGTTTTAAACATGAAAGTTTTTCAAAATGAGGTTCAAGATACCTATTTTGAACAGTGTCACTTTTGACATTTAAATTTTCTTTCTTTTCATCATCAAATAAATGAAATTGATTTTGAATTTGACGTGTTAAACTGGCAAACGAATGTTCGCTCTCTGATTGATTGTTGTTGTCAATAAGAAAACTATCTTCTAAAAAAATAGGAATAGACATGCAAATTATTAATTGAATACTATAAGATATACAAAATACCTGAAAATGCATTTGTTACAACTTGCCAGTGATATTGTTCAATATCAACTGGTTGTAGAATCCACTGATGACTTTTGATTTCACTCATTGTTAAACGTCCATATGGATCAGAGACTAATGTCGATTTTAATAAATCAAATAATTCATCTGATATATTTGAACGTATTGATAAATCAAGGCGACATTTTTTTATTTCATCTGGGCTCAAAAATGGATAACGACGAAAGATAAGTAAATAAAGTGTAATAAACATTGCCCAAATATCAGCCGATATCCAATTACAACTAAAATAGATATGAAATACAGTCATTTTAATTTAATCTAACGTAGTGAAAATATTAGTATCTCTGATGACAAATGATATCTTTGAACAAAAAAAATATGACTATTTTGATCAAAATAAATACCTTCCAGTTTTAAAGAATTCTGGACAGCAAAATTCAGTTGTTCCAGCATAATTTGATGAACATCTAGCATTATCAAGTATAGCTCTGGCAGATCCAAAATCAACTAAAATAGAAAATTTTTACTGTTATAATTTTAATATAGAGAAACAGAACTATAGCAGTACGTACTTAATTTAATATGAAAATTTTCATTAATAATTATATTTTCATCTTTAATATCTTGATGAACGACATGATTTGTATGTAAATAACTCACAGCATCCACAATCTAAACAAAAATGACTAGTAAATTCTATTAATCATTTATTTTCACTGTTAAACATACTTGTCGAAAAATATAACTACATAATGGTTCATCGATTTGAGCACCTTTTTCAATAAATTCATAAAGATCCATGCCCACTCCATGCAAAGGCATTATCATTTGAACATAATTTTCTGTATCATATGCATCAATTACCTAATAACCAAAACGAAAAAAATAAAAAAATGTTACTTCTGCTTTCTCAATAAAGTTGCTTCATTATTCACTTCGACAATATTTGGATGTTTAAGCTGTTTTAAAACGGCTATTTCATACAAAATTCTACCATAATCGGGATGTTCAATATAACGATGAAGTTTTAATTTTGTCTTTTTGATAAATTTGATGACGACTTTATTCGTTGGTTCATTTATCTTGTGACCCAAATAAACTTGACCTTTAAGTAAATATACATCAGACTAAATTGATCAAAGTGATTTTCGACTACTCACCATATCCACCACGTCCTCGTTTACGCGTTATAACATAAGCTGATTCCAATGTTTTATGAGTTTGGGATGTATCCAATAATGACGTTGATAAATCTCCAAGCTAAAAGAAATATAACATTCCGACAACCTATATTGAATCAAGACTGAAAAATGTCTCTTACCGATAATGTTGGACAATCATGTAGTTGTTGATTAACAATTAATTTTTGTAATGCAATAAATTCAGGATCGGTATTGTCTCGCGTCATCCACACACAAAAACGATGCGTACCTTGAAATTCAAAAACATCAATTTAATTTGTGAATTTATCAATCAGATTGGCTATTACCATCAACAAGATCCAGTTGTCTTACGGCAAACATAACACCAATAAATGTTCCATTTTTATGTTTTGCTTTAGTTTGTAAAACAGCTAAAAATCAAAAAATCTATTTTACACAATCCTTTTACTCCATAAGTACCAATCTTTACCAGAATCATCATAATCATTAACGAGTGTTTGTGTAAAAGGATTTTTTAAACGTTTTTCAATTGGTGTCGATGTTGAACATTCAACAATTGATTTCAAACCACTTTTCTTGTTATTGTCTGATTGAAATAAACATTTTCCCTGCTTCGAATCGGGTTCAATAACAGAATTTTGTGGAATATTTTGACTTTTTGCTAATGATTCTAGCGTACGATTGGCTAATGGGGTGATGACGACTGATTCAAGTGTCGATGAATTTGATGTTAACGATGATGATGATGATGATCGTTCCTCACCGTCTTCATCACTATCATCTGTATTATCGGATAATGAATGATACGATAAATTTTCAGCAATATTACTGTTTGATAGTGATATCTTGTTAAATGAGTTATAATTTGACAATATTTCATTGATATTCTACACATATAAGAAGAGAAAAGTAGATAAAAAACTTGTGAGACTTTTCATTTTGAAATTATGTACTAAAAATGAAAAGGTGATTACACTTACATGATTGATCAAATCCAACGATTTATATCCTAATAAACATTGCACGAAATATGGATTGTATGCTCTTATCATACTCATCTCGTCGACAATAATTAAACCACTTATATTCATTATTACCGATATGCTTAAATCAAAGAATTCTGACGATGTCTGTTGTTGTTTCACACATAATGTTAATGGAATATATAAATTTTTATTCTTATTTAAACAACCTGTTGTCCGATATTGTTTGGTCAATATTAAATTTTTCAATTTTTTCTTCTTTAATGATGGCATAAAATCATAGATATTATGTATCTGACTAGCGTCAATATTGATACTATTGATCATTGCACTTTTAAATAATATTGAAAAATTAGAATCATGCGAGACAATTGAACCATTCTCACTACAGCGGACGTTAGCAATAATCATTTGAATTGATTCAAATGCATAAAAACATAATTTATTATTTTCCAAATCTTGAACATACATCGAGTATGGCATTCGTTCACCAGTACCCAACAAAACATCAACCTAAATGAAAATCCTGTGTATATGAACTTAAACACAGTAAGACACACGGCTTTAGAGAATCTTCTGCATTTCGTACTAAGTTTCATATTTAGAAACTTGGCATGCAGATTGATCAGACATAAATAAATACCAAGTATATACTTTTGAGTATTAATTCAATCATCTGTTTTATTGTGACAACGAAAACTTACAATTTTTCCTGCAATCAATTCTGTTTGTCCACTATCTTTGCTTAAAAACGAATCAACAATTGCATTCTGATGTGTTCTTTTTTCATCATCGACGACGATGAGATCGGTAATTTTCTTTGTTTTCAATTCATTTTCTGTATACCAAAATAATTCACAAGCTTGTTTATTTACACTAATAATTTGTTTTGTTTGAATATCAACAAGAAGAAACGCACGAAATGGATTTAAACGGTTTGTCATTGTATCTCTAGTATTTGTGACGAACGTATTTTCTGTTGTGCTACTCATTTCATTTTTTAATGACGGTGATGAAGGGATTTGTTGAAATGACGTTGAGCAAAGAGAAACATTTCGTTTCGTATTTACAGGTGAGCAGCATATACGATCAAGATTTTCAACAATATTTTGTCGGCACGACACTGTCTGTGTGGGCCGATATGTTATTGAGCGTAGAGCGTTGTCTTAAAAAATAAAGTAAAAGAAAGATCAAGTATCAAACTAAAGAAAATGAAATGACATACCACAAAGAAAACGTTGTTCGAAGTTGAATGTTGATTTTATTGCTTCAGTCTTACACGATGATTGCTCATGAAACGAATGTTGAAGTTCTGCCGCCTGTGAATAAGGCTTCGTAGCGTTCGTTTTTGAGAGAGATGGGAATGTTTGATTCATTTCGAACGAGAGGCGTGGAGAACAATCAGATGATTTAGAATCATCCTTGGAAGACATCAATTTTCTATCTAGAAAAAGAGTATTTTTGTTGACAAAAGTCCTAGACACTTCCTAAATTCATCGTGAAAGAAAACAGTACAATGTATTTCATGATGCCTCTAGATTTCAACATCATTACGAAACCTGTACTGTATCAGATTTAAATTATCTTAAAGAAACAGCTTATTCACTCAATTAAAGAAAATTTGGCAGTGCCCATCTTAGCAAATAGTTTCCCTGCTTTATATTAGTCTAAAATCGTACAAAAGAGCTGTTGTGTGTGTCGAAGTAAATGATTGATAGTATTTTACGGATTTACCAATCACATAAAACAGGGTCACAATTTTATAAGAGAAGAGCAACAATGTCAAAATAATAAAAGAAATATAACAGAATGAGTTAGTATAATAAGCTAGCGGTAAAACAACCAAAGTAGATTCGTGTAGATAGATGCCGTTAGGAGACAAACTTAGAACGGGATGTGTTGAAAGTAGAATGATAGTAAAACAATGGTTATTATAGATACGAACAGTGCAATATCATTCTACCCTAACAAGCCACCTCGTAACTCAATTGCCAAACAAGTCTCTTAACAAACAATCTCAATTTAGGTCAAAAACTCTCGTCCGAATTAGAAGCATATGCAAAATAAATCCTCTCTTAAAGAGGAGTTATGTGTTTTGTCCGCAAAACATCAAAAAATGGCCGTCAGATACCGTATCTGACGGCCATTTTTTGATGTTTTTGATGTCCAGGGATTCCCTGGACGAGCCAATCATAAGAAAGAATAGTTAACGATAATTTTATTTTAAATATTTCGAGGATATGCGAAAAAACCACGAACAGAGCCTCGTCAGACGTCATGCTAGATACACTTAACTCACCAGAACTAAACGAGAAAAGGTGAATTCAACAGAGGACACCACGATAAAGTGTAAAAGGTGCTGAAAGGCTAAAAATTGTCGCTAGGGTTGATGTTATCAGGAAAAAAATACACCTAAACAGATAGTTAACCATTAAATAACTATGAATAGTAGTCTAAGAAAGCAGACAGTTTCCAGGAAAGATTGCGAGTTCTTCCGCGCATGAAAGTGGTGGTGTATCTTCGGACATGAATGAATGATTTATTCACGAAAGTGAGAGTCAGCAAAGCTTCTCGACCTACAATAACAAGGTAACGCTCGTCTCCACTCGCTCGGTCCCTTGACTTTAGCAACTTGGATCTGCGCAAGCGAGCGCCCTTTGGTGATTTTTAAATCGAAGACAATCCTAACGCCTAGCTTCGGTCGGCGCTCGCCTAAGCAGTTTTTCTAATGAGAATTGTAACTTAAATTGTAAAACTTCAGTTCACGCCGTCAACTAGGAGTCTGACGTTTTATTTAGCGCCACCAAAGCGAAAATATCTCATTTCTTCTGTTCGATTAGACTGGAACAGTGTTTCTAATGAGAATTGTAATCAAAATGGATTGAACCACTTTGCTCTGAAACCTAAAGTAGAACTGACCACTTTGTGCTAAACTGCAAAGTGGTCTCGAATAAACTATCAGCAAGCAGCGTTTATAAAACTGTTTTCTGCTTGCGTTCTAAAACATGGACCTTTGCAGTGTTTCTAATGAGAACAATAGAAAGCAGTTATTGTGTTCTATGTTATAATGTAAAAGAAGGACAAGCCCAATAAGATCAACCACTAGTCATTAGAAACACTGCGCCTAAGTAAGACATCTGTCTGGATTCTTTTTTCTGTTTTTGTGTGTAAGGTTCGTAATCTAATCTAAATATAAAAAGCAAAACTCTCCAGAGTTCTAAAAATATTTATAAAGCTAATTAGCTAACAATGCTAGCACCTCCCTTCCGTCAGTGTTCACGAGTGGACGATCTACAGTATGTTATGAATATCTCTCTGATTTGATGTGTAAGCTTCGTAATCTAATATAAATCTAAAAAGTTTTCTCAAGATCCTCCAAAGGTTCCCAGAGGTCTAAAACTACTACTGAATACCAACAATGCTCACGCCTTCCTTCGCTCGGCCTTCGCAGTAAATATATCAACAAACTGCGCATAGTTCTCTTTCCTTATCATTGATATCCAAATATATGTCAAATATGTCTGTTTATCGTACAAAATTACTTGTTCATGAAATTATTGCACATCTAATAAATTCGGCCTACACAAAACGTTTGCTTGGCTGTTTATATCTCTGCATCAGTAAATATTTCAGATGACCTCTTTAATTATTTTCTCTCTTATGTAAAAAATAATTTTCTACTGTTGTCTCTTGTGATTCGCTTATCCATAGAATATCTGACAGCCATTTTTCCGTATTTTGCGCACAGACACACACACAGACAACTATTTTGTAAGACCCTAGACTAAAGTCGAGGGAAAATCGTTTTTACTGTATGATACGAAAAAGGGGGGAGGTCATTTTTACATAGAATTTTGACATAGAATGTTTGTTTTTTATCCAAATCAAGTGAAAATTTGTTCACATAGGTAAAAACTGATGACGAATCCAATGGACATAGTTTCGAGGTCTTCAGAGGGTCTCCAAAAAACTTTTGAACCGATTTTATTTACTCAGAATCTCAATAAAAACATAATACTGTGATGATCCATGAAAAATTAATATTTTACAATTATTTCCTTGAAGTTAGTCAGGTACATATAAAAATGTATATTTACCCACACGGACGAATAAAAAAATCAATAACTTTCGAGAGAAATTGTGTGGATAATCCAACACGGAGAATTTAATGGTACGATAGGAGGATCTCCATGAGATCTCCAGAAGATTTTTGAAAAATATTTGGTTTTCTGCGGATTTTCAACTACAGCTTGAATCAAGATGAAGGATAAGTCCGATCTCCAGAAGGTTTCCAGAGAACTTCTGGTTTCCTCCTGGTTTTTAATAATGCGATTTTAAGTAAAACGTAGGGCGAACATCGAGCTCTAGCGCGGTAAGAGAAGGATATCTCTTTATAATAATTTGTAATATAAGCCTTATTCTAAACATCTGAAATGAAGAGCGTTAGGACCATCTAATGAGACTGTTGAGCATCGGTCGAAACGCGTCGTGGTATGCTCAAGCAAAATACGTCCGTCGTGACTCGAAACGAACAGGACGAACTGGCGTTTTCTTTTCCACTGGAGAGAGTGTATAAAGTCCTAGTGTGTCTTCACGGGTAATAAGTGTCAGTTTTGACCATTATCAGGAGATACTTTGACATACTTCATCTTATGAGCTGTAGCTTTTTTTTGTATGGTATATCTCGAAGCAATCAGAGACGTGCAGTGCCACCTCACAATTTCTACAGTCCCACTGAGTTTCACCCTTCTAAAACTACAGCTCATAAGATGAACTCCTAGAAGAGCTCCCTAGATAATGCCCTTACATAATTGTGCTCAAAGTTGCCATGATTTATGTATTTGTAGCATAATGCAAAAGTTATAATAAATGGCAGAAAAAAAATACTAATTTTGGGTATCTTGAATAAGCAAAATAATACTATGCCAAGGGATTAATGTAATTTACTAACGGGTGATCCAAGATAAATTGCACTAAATTCTGATGCATTTTTCTCTCATTTTTCATCTATGAAAAATATGCCCTAATATACCAAAAGATAGAGAATTTCAGGCTCTACAAAACTGATGACTTCGTTTTTGAAACAAATTTTT